TTTTGATCGTCCTTTTGGTGAAATTGAGAATGCCAATAGACTTGAGTCATCATACTCAGGAAGGCGAAAATGTTGTTATTGTATTGGAGAATTCAGTTTAATGGTTTGCTGCTTCCGTAAATCGGCTTATTCAATGGTTCAACTTATGCTCGAGAGTGGCCTTCGACTTACATTTTACTATCAGAAGACTTTTTTACCCAAACTAGAGGACAATTTCAACCTTGCCAAAAAATTGTTTTCCTGGGCCGAAGTTATGCTAATTCTAAACTTTTGGCGTAATGAAATCGTGCGATCCAGGGGAAATGATATGAAACTGGCATATTGGATTTTGGTTAAAAATCAACGGTTGATGATTACGTAACGCATAAAATACAGACGAAAAGGAATTTAGACTTGTATAAGCCTCATTGTTCATCACAACAAAATTATATTTAATTGACTCACATATGAGTTTGGCAACAAATTGACATTTTCACTTAATTTAGTATTTCTAACTTTTTTATATTTGTATATTTTTCCCAAGTTGTCTGTTAATATAGCGACTTAATTTAGGACTATTATCACAAACTCTCCTCGCATCTTCTATCTTGCCCCTTCCGGATCTGTCGCGTGACGACTGTGTCTCAAGATTCTGGCTCTCAGAGCGTCTAGACCTGTCTCATATGATGCCTGTAGAGGGGCAGAAAGAAGTTTGGATATAATGTTTGCCATCAAATTACTGCAAACTGGGGCGATTTTTAATACGAAATTTAGGTGAATTCCTCAATTTGCAGAATATAAAGGGCATATTATCTATAATAAGGACTATTTTGTAGAATTACCCGCACCAAAACTTTTGGCTGGCTGCAATGCACGTAAAATGAGAATACATTAAAAGCAGACAATGCAATTTTTTCTATTTTTTTCTATACTTCATCACTAGGCCTGAGCCGAAATCCTGCTTCAATATGCCAAACCTTTTGATAGCGAGACAGCCTGAGGCCTGGCCAAAGCGACTGCACAACATCACAGAAAATCCGCCATCCATGCCAGATTCCGCGACCCCTTTGATGGATGGACGACATGTCTCTCTGACTGAAGTTACAGTCGTTCCTCCGACTGTCGAGAATGGAGGGATAAGGGGCAAAATTGACAGTGTGGCTGAAATGAGAGCGGAGAGTACAGTGGAGAAGAGGCGATTGGTGAATACATTGGAAGAGGTCGAAGGAGCCAAAGAGGCTAGACGGAAACATGTGTCTGCCAGATCCGACATGTCCGTGGGAGGTAAAGGAGGAAAAATGATTGGGTCTGGTGGTAAAGGCAACGAAGACGAGCCAGTTGAGGAGGCTGAGCACGAAGGGGAAAAAAGCACAGTTGTGAGGATCAACCCGCTTGTGGTCACCTCGCTGCCTGACAGGACTGAATCGGCCAGTATTGTCACCATGACGTCTGCGATGGCCTATTTGACACCGGCGACAACCAACTGGCCGGCGGGACTTGTTAATCGTCGACCTAACACCGCGCGTGTTAGGCTGGCGCACCTGCAGTACCTGAAGAACCAACCGCAACCAACACAGTCCGGTGGGTTTGAGGCGAGACCTCCGATCCGACCCGGTCTGGTCACAGTAATTACAAAATGTTATGGTCGGAATGTGTTGTGATGAGGCTTTATTTTTTTTCTTAAACTAACCCAAAGCCGAACGGTTTTCTGCAATCCGAAAGTGATGAGAATGAGGATGATGGGCAAAATGAAGAATTACGCCAAACTTCACAATGCTATAAATACAAGTATGCATGTGTAGTGTAAAGTAATACATTGTGCAAGGCTTGCAACTATTTGCAGTTAATGAGAAGAGTTGAATAGTGACAATTTTGTAAAATCGCGAATGACGGCGATCACATTTCAGAGGGTAGTTGGTTTGGATTATTGAAGACCAAGCTGTCCAGGCCAAGTGGAATAGGGGACCTACTTTTGGCGTAGATTTTCGCTATACCATATGCAATACTATTTTTGACTATTTCCTCTTATGACTTTTCCCAAAAATTGTCAGTCTATCCGCGACCAGCTGCCTCAGTGGTACAGTAACAGCATGTAAAGGCTATGAAGAAATCGTCTTGCCTTTCTATTGTCAACAAAGCAAATAACTCCACATGCTACGATTGCACCAGACTCTTCGAAGCACCAGACCCAGAGGCATTAGTCGCCTGGCGACAGATGCGCACATGGAATTGAGAGAGAGGTGGTATAATCAAACATATTGGAAGGCAGTCACGATTATATTGTGAATCGTATTGCTCATCTGCTTAGTGTGTAATTAAATTTAGAAGGCATTTGTTGTCAATGCTTCGACTTTGGTGATTGGTGCCAATATTTAGGCGTAGCCTCAAATGACATAAGGCAGAAAAGGCTGCAATTACATGATATCTCAACTGCATGGCTGAAAGCTGAAGACCCAAACACGCTATACCGGCTAGTGGGGATGGTGGTAGGGAGAGGATAGTCGACAATCAGGACACACGTACAGCCTGGGTCACCAGGTGACGTGAAATGGGGTTTGTCTGGTTGTTACAGCAGACGCTGGAACGTTCAGGCATTGCGAGGCGACAGTAAAAATTATGATACAAGTCAATGGTACATTCGTCCAGAATGGTATGAATCTGGAGGTTTCGGAATTTCTCCATTGAGCGCTCTGAGAGGCTAAAGCAGAAATATGTACCGAAAATTCGGCCTTTCGTGGCATTGGCATTGCATCGGTCTGCTGATGGTACCTATCTGCATTTTGGCGCCAGCAAACCGGTCTGGGGACTCTCCAGCTGCACCGAAAAGACCAGGAGGGTCTCTAACTTGCGACCCACTCTGGTTGAGAGTTTTTCACTTCTGACACAGTCTACGCCTGGCGGTCTGACTGATATAAATGTCGTCGCCGAAACCCACAAAAGCCAGGCAGATGCGATGTTTAAAAGGTAGGCTGGGTTTAAAGGAAACATTTAATAAATTCATGTTGTTTTCGCACATTGGTGAACGGGATTCCATAACTGGCCGATTTGGAAACCGAAGGAGGATGACAGAAAAGTTGTGTCTGTTGATTTTGTCTCAATTGACGCATGAGGAGTGCCTAATCACAAACCACAGGCAATGACACGCTTAATTGTTTCATTGGGAGTAGGTTTTCGAGACTACCAACAAATCAGATAAATGAAATGTGTTCAACCTATTCGATGTAAGGTGAAGAAGGACTGGTAGTTGAATTTACCTACAATAATGTGAGTAGACTTTACGTTACCATTAATTTCGCATAATATTTATTTCCCAAAAGGTAGTTTTATCCTGGGTGGACGGCGATTTCGACCTTGCCTGGGTAGCATCCACACCGAAAGTGGGACTCGAGCCATGATATTGCAGCGTCTAATCTCGACACATTGACCACTACGCCACAGTTCTACGAGTGCCCCTGGGTCACTCCATATCATATTGTGTGGTGGGAGCGTCGATGAAGCAAACTTATATTTTCTATAACAATCGGCGGCATTACATATTTTTTTAT